GGAAGTAATCTTTTTAATTAAAAATTAATTTAGGGCCAGGTGTGGTAGCATGTGTCTGTAATCCCAACCCTTCAGAAGCTGAGGCAGGAGCATTGCTGTGAGTTTAAGGCCGGCCTGAACTACATAGCAAGACCCTGTTTCAAAATAATAGTAATTATTATTATTATATAGGTAAAGTTAGGACTGGGGTGGCAAAAAAACTGAAGATGAAGGTGGAGGTTAGAAGGTTGGCAGTGACAGCAGAGAACTAAGGTTCCCAAAGCTCGGAGTGGGGCGTGTCTGTAAGTGCGGGTCCTGTGAAATAGGGGTTCTGAACAAAGGCAGGTGCTGGGGAGGAGACAGATGGCCAGCTCTGCCTGCGCAGCCCAGGCACATCTTCCCCCTTTCCCAGGAAACAGCTGGCTCCTCACCTGCTCCAGTACTCTGGGCTTCTCTCCTAAGAAAACTTCCCCCTTAGCAGAATTGGAAATGTGCGTGCCAGAGCTCATGATAGTTTGCATTTGGGAGAAACTCCACGAGTCTGATCATCATTGGCTTTGTTAACTGGGACCGACCTGCAATTTTGGTGCAAGCTTACGTATTTCTCAAGCTGTAATTCTTTGCGTTCTATCCCCCAGAATCCCAGTTGAAGCCTCTGTCTCAGCCTGGGCTACCACCCAGCCTTCTCCCAGCCCCCAGCTTCCAGCCTCTCTCCCTCCAGTCGAGCCCTGGCCATGGAAGTTCCTTCCCCATAAGTCTCCTGTGGCTCCCTCTGTATAAGTTGGAGCCATTAGCATAGTATTTGTGCCTCTGCCAGTGTCTCCCACCACATCTTGTGGCATTGTACCTCCCAGGAGCACCCCTCAGCTCAGTGCTTCGCTGGGACTCACCAAGCTCAGCAAAGATAGTGGAGTGTACTCACGTTTACACCTTACTACAGAGCAAAATCATGGAGTAAAAAGGGAAGCAGTGTGTGGGTCCATCTGGGAGAGACCAGGCACAAGCTTCCAGGTGCTCCTTGACCCACTGGTGCCGAGTCCCGGTAAACCCATCCCATGGCGGGCGTGTACGGAATACCCCAGAGGGTCCTCCCTTTGTAGCACAAGATCCAGCAGCTGAATTCGAGCTCCACCACATCTGTCATGGGGGAGGATCATTCCCTGTGTCTGTAGCCTAGGAGAGGAGCGAAGTACAGAGTGCAGTTTCTGTTGACAGCACAGCACTTTGACTCCATTGTAAATCCAGGACCGTGGGGAGGGTTTGGAGGTGTGGGGTCCAGTCCTGTAGGCTTGGAGCACCCATGTGGTTGAACTTAAGATTTTTGTCTGAAATGCCCCCTGTATGTCAGCATTAACATGGGCTGTCGGGCATGGCCTGAAAACTCAGGTGAACCAAAACACAAAACACCCAACTGGATGTTTCAGGGATTTAGAGGTCCCCTCCCAGGAGCTGGGCAAGGGCCAGACCTTTCTTTGGAATCTTTGGGATCTGGACAGACCTTTACTGCATACTCACTGTTCCTCTGGCCACCCCAAATCCCTTCACTTTCCAAGACACCCGTGTCTGCCTCTGCCTTCTCCTGGCCCTCCTGCACTTGGCAGCCCTGTTGCTTTCCCTCCTCAGCTGCTCCCTGTTGCCCGATCCTGACGCTCACATTGGACACAGCTGTGCCCTTGCTGTTGCTGTCATCATGTACAAGGAGAACCTGCCCCTGTAGTGTGCTCAAGAGTGTGAATTCACACGTCAGAAGCACAGAGCAGCGGGGGTGTCAGAAACCAATGGAGCATTGAATCGGGGAACCGTTAACCCTTGCAGAAGGCTATTGTCTTTAATAGTTGCAAAAAGTTTTTTATAAGTGCTCTTCTGGACAGTTTTAGCTGCAACTTATTAATAGCAAAATCTCTGTCAGTCTAGACTGAGTTCCTGAGAACTGAGATGTGTAGGTGGAGCTGTTCGGACGCTCTGGGTGCCAAGAACAAACCGGGCTCCAGGCGGCTCAGCAGTGGGGTGTGGTACTCAGAACAGGGCTGCATGCTTCTGGGGAGCGCCCGTAGAGCTTTGACAGTGCCACGGCCAGGTCCGGTCCCACGGAACCTATGACATGGCAGTGCTGGTTTGAGTGCTCGAAGGTGGAAGGGGTGAGGGGGCCTACGTTGTGTTTCCTGACTCGGCCAGGAGGGCTTCCCTGGTGACTGCTGAGGCGTAAGAACCAGCTTGGAGAGGGAAGAGGAGACGACCGTGGATGCTTGTCCAGGCCAGGCACTTGACTTCTCAGTCATGACCTTGTTTGTTCTTCGCAGGGCACAGGGATTGGCTTTATTACAGACGGGGAAACTGAGGTACAAAAAGCCCCAGAAAAGCTCCTCAGTGATAGAAGCAGAATTCAAGCCCAAGTCTTTTCCTTAAATATCTGGAGACTGACTTCATACCTGACAGCCCGAGGTACCTGGCCACTGCTCTCAGTGAAGGGAAAATGAGAACCTGAAGGCGTTAGGTGGAAGCTGGGGTACACAGTAGTGGTGGTGCCCTGTGGACCGAATGGTGGAGTAGAAATAAAGGGGTTTATACTGTGTGGATGAGAATCAGCACTTCCTTCCCCCTGAGCCTCCTCCTGACTTTGTAGGAAGGCCGTGATCCCAGTCTCCCTCCCGGCCTGTTTGACATTAACAGAGGGCCCAGCTGAGTGGGTGTAGCCCAGTGGCAGCCACACCGAGTTGTTGGGCTTGGGGTTAGCTGCTCAGAAATTGCTACCTTAGAACTGACATTTCTCGTCATAGTCTTATGACCCACTGCGTGGTGGCAGCAGACCGTGAATTCATACTAAACTTGAGGTCAGCCACACCCGGGTCTTTACACAGGAACTTCACAGCTGGGCGCCCAGCACCTCTCCCTGCGGCTCCAAATGCTTCAAAGCCTGAAGATGCAGCTTTGCGCCTGCCTGCCTGCCTGCCAGCGCAGGAACAATGGATGCCCTGAGTAGTCAGGCCCTGCCTGTACCTCCGGTGCTGCCCCCGCTTGCCATTCCAAGGAGGGAGCAGAGCTCTGCAGTGCTCTGCTGAAGACCTTAGCACAGGGCCCTCCGCGTCACACCTCAGGTCAGGCACTGTCTACTTCACACCTGCTTCACGCTCCACTCTGTGTCCTCCAACTGCGCTCACAGATCACCACAAATTCAGTGTTTAGAACAACACACTGATTCCCTTATGGTTGTGGTTGGACTCCAAAACGAGCTTTACAGGGCCAAACCAGGCTGTGGCAGCTCCAGAGGAGAACCCACTTCCCTGCCTTTTCCCACCTCGAGAGGCCGCCTTGTTGCTTGGTCTGTGGCCCTTCTTCCAGCCTCAGAGCACTGCGCTTCAGGCTGTGCTTCTGGCAGCACGTGAGCTGGCTGGCGTGGTTTGCCGGCGGTGTTCTTTTGCTGCCTTTATCCAGTTTGTGGTCCCCAGCCACCCTGTTCAGGGTCCCCCCGCCCTGCCGAAATCTCACAGCCAGTTGAGAAGAGCTTGTTTTGTTAAGTCAGTGTGTCCCACTCCTGTGTGATTACAGAGACGGGCTTGTGCCCGTCCACAAAATGAAGTCACATTCTAATTTGATTCTTTCAGATTCCAAAGCCCATCGGTTAGTTGTGTGTCTTTGCTGTAGAAAGAGCATTTAGAAACCACTGCAGGTTAGAAAGGAGAAGGCACCTGTCCCCATACTGTGACCTCCTCGTGGCCCTTTCTCCTTAGCTATGCCTCTCTTGGCGTCTAACTGCTGCTGTAATTGGGTGTGGGGAGATGCCTGTCTTCAGTGTCCGCGCTGAGCAAGGTTTCTGCATTGGCCCGCTGGAAGTCAGTGGCTCTTGCAGGTCCACAATCTTGGGTTTGGCTCCTGGCTTCCTGCTACCTGGTGACCCTGGACAATTTATTGTAGCCTCTGAGCCCATTTCCTCATCTTCGCTGTGGGACAGGACCCCTGCCTCCAGGTGCTCGTGAGAGTTGGTGTCCATCCGAGCACCTCTTCAGGCCCATCTTGCATGGAGTGTCCCTGTCCAGCGCCCCTCCCGCTCCCACCGGGTACACTCCGCCTTTGCAGCTCCTAGGTGGCCCTGCTGAGGGCTCCTGCAGTTAGACATTACAGAACTCCAGTCGGTTCGAACCAAGCAGGGACATGCTGGTCCTTGCAGCTTTCAGGTGCTCTTTATTGCCTGCCTGTCACTGTTGCTGGTGGCTCATTCCCTCCCGCTGTGATGGCTGAGAAGATGCCCAGGAGAATGTCCAAGTGCATACCTCCTGGCCTCATCCACAGTTTTGGGGGAGATTCTGAGTACTGACCCACATCTCTGTTGATCCCTGAGCCAGCCACCACAGCCAGTGGCATCCACTGCCCTGGCTGACCACCGGGTCTCACACCCACCCCTGAATTAGGAGGGCAGAAGCTGTAGCATGCCCTCAGTCCCCTACAGTGGTAAAGGTATGCCCAGACACGGCCTTCAGCAGCCAGGGCCCTATCCTACAGCACATACTGTTTGCCAGGGCTGGTCTCTTTCTGTACAGGGTCATAATAGCACTCAGGGTGGCATGAGCCAGGTCAGCGCGCACAAAGACACACACACACATACCACCACCACCCCACCACCACCACCACCCCTTGCAGCAAGAAAACCCTGCTGAGTCCCAGCCCAGAAGCAGCCCTGTGGTGCTGTTTTGTCCTCTAGTCGCACTGAGAGTGCCTCCTTTCGGACTCCTCAGGGCTGAGCTCAGTTCAGGTCTGTGCCTTCTCTCTGGCAGCAGGGTTCCCTGCACTGCCCAAGCACTCCCAGCTCTCAGTACCCCACCCCCAGGTGCAGACTTCTTCTGGATCCTCCTGTGCTGGCTTAGCAGAGCCTAGTGTAGGTTATACAGGGGCAAGAGGTTGCCGTCCATTCTAATTATCCAGCCCTACCACCCTCCAGACAGCAAGCACCATCACGCTAGTGAGGTTGCCTTTCCAAAACTGCCATCTGATCATGTCACTTCCTGTGCTTTAAAAATCTCCCCAAGGTTGCAGACGCTGGCCGAGTTTGCTTTGGGAGCCGGAGTAGCTGTTGCCACCAGAGTCTGGAACCATGAGCAGGTTTAATTTCGGAAGCTCTGGCGCTTCCACGGGCGGATTCACATTTGGCACTGCGAAAGCAACAACCACCACACCTTCCATGGGGTTTCCTTTCACCACTCCCGGCGCTGGAGGGTTTACCTTCAGCACTCCCTCCCAGCCCACGGCGAGTACCCCTTCCACGAGCCTCTTCTCGCTCACCACCCAAGCTCCAGCAACTCAGACCCCGGGATTCGCCTTCGGAACAACTCCTGCTTCCACAGGAGCTGGCTTTTCCTTAGGGATCAGTGCTCCAAAACTAAGCCTGAGCAGCACCGCTGCCACCCCAGCCACAGCAAACCCCAGTGGCTTTGGGCTTGGTGGCAGTGCTCTCACCAATGCCATGTCCGGTGCTGTCACCTCCAGCCAGGCGACTGCAGCCACTGGCTTTGGGTTCGGTTCCTCTACCACCTCCACAGCTCCAGCCACCACATCCGGAGGGTTCTCATTCACCAGCGGAAGCACATCCCAGGCTGGGACCTCTGGCTTCAACATTGGCTCCCTGGGCAGTGCGCCCCAGGCCCAGCCCACGCCCACGGCACTTTCCGGGTTGGCCTTCACTGCAGCCACACCCGCAAGCACGGCAGCAGGGCCCAGCCAGCCAGCCGCCCCCACACCTACCACTGCCACCACCAGTGCAGGGCCCACACTCTTCTCCTCAATAGCAGCTGCTCCCGCCTCGTCCACCACTGGGCTCTCCCTCTGTGCTCCAGCAACCACCTCCGGAGCATCTGGGGCTGGGACCCTGGGCTTCAGCCTAAAACCCCCCGGAGCAGCTTCTAGCACCTCCACAGCAACATCTACAACCACGGCCACGACCACCACCACTGCTGCCAGCAGCTTTGCCTTGAATATAAAACCACTGGTGCCGGCTACGATTTCCAGCAATGCAGCAGCAGGTGTAACCACTCTGTCTGGCTCCAGTGCAGCCACTGGGACAGCCACCTCTCCAGTGATGACCTACGCACAACTGGAGAGCCTGATCAACAAGTGGAGCCTGGAGCTGGAGGACCAGGAGCGCCACTTCCTCCAGCAGGCCACCCAGGTCAATGCCTGGGACCGCACGCTGATCGAGAATGGGGAGAAGATCACCAGCCTACACCGAGAGGTGGAGAAGGTGAAGCTGGACCAAAAGAGGCTGGACCAGGAGCTTGACTTCATCCTGTCACAGCAGAAGGAGCTAGAAGACCTGCTGAGCCCCCTGGAGGAGTCGGTCAAGGAGCAGAGCGGGACTATCTACCTGCAGCATGCTGACGAGGAGCGGGAGAAGACCTATAAGCTGGCCGAGAACATCGATGCGCAGCTGAAGCGTATGGCCCAGGACCTCAAGGACATCATTGAGCACCTGAACACGTCTGGAGGCCCTGCTGACACCAGCGACCCACTGCAGCAGATCTGCAAGATTCTTAATGCACACATGGACTCGCTGCAATGGATCGACCAGAACTCAGCTCTTCTGCAGAGGAAGGTGGAGGAGGTGACCAAGGTGTGTGAAGGCCGCCGCAAGGAGCAGGAGCGCAGCTACAGGATCACGTTTGACTGAGTGCGACCCCTGGGGTTACGGGCTCCCGGGGCTTGGGGTTGCGGGTGCCATGTCTAATTTGGGCTTGCAATGAGACACTTGTTGGTTTCTTTCTTTTCAAATGATTGTGCTGTTGAAAATTGTTCTGTGGTTTGACTTTTCCCATTAACAGCAAGTATTCTCTGCATCTTCTGGTCCAGGTAGCGGCCCCATAGGGGGTGTCTGATTTGTCTGTGTAACTCTGGCCCCATCTCACCTACTACAACCACCCACCTCATCCCCAAACGATAGACATACTGCCCCACCTAAGCAGTCTCCTCAGCCAGGGCTGCTTGGGCAGCCACTCTGTCTAGCACGTAGTCATAGTACAGTGGAAAAGGACTGAGGTTAAGGATCTACCCACAGCCTTGGTGTATAAGATGTGTACTCCTGAAAATTAACCACCAAGACAAGTGCATTGTAACCAGGACAGACAGTAGGATAAACGTTCCAGAGGAAGAGACATCAGCTGAGGGATCTCACAGGGATGAAGGAAGGGCAGAGGACATGCCAACTTGTCCTCAGGGCTTGCCTATGTCCCCTCTAGGAAGTCTCAGTTGTGCAGAGTTGCTGCAGCAGGTGGCCTCCCTGGGTCTCTGTAGCACCCTGAGCTGGCACCTTTCGTGGTGAGACTCGTTGTGTCATACTATGCTCACCATTAGAGAGCAGGGACAGACCGTGTTCTGTGTGTGCCCAGTGCAATCCCTATCGCATTTATTCAGTGACCAAACAGTGAAGATGAAACCCATCATAACTCCAATCCACAAAAATGCCTGCTGAAATGATCACAGTTGCCAGAGGTCCACTTAGTCCTGAACCTCCCCGTGCCAAAGTCAGCCACAGAAGATCTGGGGTGTCTCAAAAGCTGAGCCTGGGCTCTATCCTGGGGGGGTCTTTGGTGTTCATTTTTATACTTCACTGCATTCTCTGAAATGCCTACGATTATATGTTGCTTTCCTAAATAAAATCAGTGTGTGAAACAAAACCTGTTGATTGGATAAATGTTAGCAGAAGCTGGTGAGGAGAGCGGGTTCCAGAAGACTGGGTGGGCTGCCGTGCCTCTAAAAAGCAAGCAGAACCATTCCACTATGGAGATGAAGCCTCCCTCGGGTGAGAAGGGCAATGAGGTCCCACTGGTGTCTCCTCTAGTGAAGAGGAGCAGCGGGCAGGCCCGTGGTGGGGACCCTTTTCCTTAGAAACCTGCCTCAGAACAGACTTGAGTAGTAGGTCGCCTGTCACATCCCTAAGGCACAGACATCATCACCCCTTCTGAATAGCGTTCCTTGCTGTCACCTGGCCCAACTGGAGGGTTCTGGTTATGCTTTAACAGTGGGGAGCAGGTAAAGCCAGACACAGGCTATATGGGAGGGTTAATTTTGGGGTACTGGCCCCACACTATGCCTCAGCCCCTGCCCCGCACCCACCCTCTCCCACAGGCCTGTGTGATGCCACACACTCAGTTCTTACTTCTGGGGGTGGGAGCCTAGCCCACTCTTCCTTCAGCTGGTCCCACTAAGCTAGGGAGACTGTAACCCAGCTTCCAGAATTTCCTTGGCCCATCTGGGGCTTTGAAGGATGTTTGTTCCTGCTGAAGCCATCAGATTTGGAGGGAAATAAACTGAGGGAAAACCCAACAATCGCGATGGTAGCTTGGAAAGCTTACACAAATACACACTGGCCTTTTTCAGCAACCCATGGGCCTTGACCCCGTTCTGGCCACCTTTTCAAAAGGAGGCCTTGAGTTCCCCTGGAAAACAAGAAGTGGCTTATATTTGACTTGTGCATTCCTTCTCAACTGTTTTTGGAGCATCAGTTTCATATCAGACCCTGATCTGCCGTTGGAATTAGGAAATGGAATCATTGTGAGGCCACAGTCATTGCTGCCAGGAGCCATGCGCAGCAAGAAGAATCTATTTCTAATGTGTTTGTATATATATTTATTTATCCCTATTTGCATATTAAATAAGTAAAGCTTAATTGCTTCCTTACAGTTTTGGGGTTTTGGCCAGTTTCTTTGGTGTTGGGTATTAAGCCCAGGACTTCTGCAAGCTCAGTATACCCTCTACCACTGAGCTCCACTCCCAGCTCTCTTACAGTTTCAAAATAAGAACAGACCTGGATGTGGATGGAGGCACACACCTGTAATCCCAGCACTCGGGAGGCTGAGCCAAGAGGATCTCTTGAGTTCAAGGCCAGCCTGAACTACATAGCAAAACCTTGTCTCATAAATTTAAAAAATTGAAGTTGTAATATTTTCTTCTCACACCCGTGGGGATCGTGGGCACCCCACTTTGAAGAACATGTGATTAGAATAAGTCAAGATGCGATTTTGGGTGCTCTGGATCCCAGGGAGAAATGGCCTCAGCAGACATCTTGGAGTCAGCAAGATTTCAAGAGGATTGCTGGCTTTATTATAATTGTACTTTCTCTTTCCAGGAAGAGAACTGGCAGATGCAACTCCTTGCCAGTCCAGACACTTGACTTCTAGTAAGTTCCTCTTCATTAAGTAATATGAAGACAAATGTGACTAAATTTGGAATCTGAGGCTTTTAAAGGTGGTTCCTCACTAAGCCCTTACTGCATTTCCTTCCCTTGTTTAGGAGTATGAGTGCCAAAGGGATACATGGTCATAGCTTGCTTTTAGACGCGCAGCCCAGCCCTTCCCAGGATGAGCCCTGTCAATTTCAGTTTGACACCAGCCAGACTTCTTTTTGGTTTCTGTGCTACTTGTGTAGCACTGAGCTACATCTTTAGCTTTTTCTTTTGTTTTGTTTTGGAGACAGGGTCTTGGTAAATCTCTTAAATTTCCCAGATTAGGCCCAAACTTGTGATTCTCCTGCCTTGCCCTTCTAGAGTACTGAGATTATAGGCAGAGAAGTCAGATTTGTGAAACCGCTCATGGTTTTCAGAGCAAGAGAACAGCCTCGAATCCCCCCATGAAAGGCTGGAACGTGGTTCCCAGCAGCGTTGCACTTGCGGTGTCTGACATTGGCCCTCGGCTCATTTCAGGATTTCTGGCTGTCCATGCAAGGTTACTGGGCATGATTTGGGAAGAGACACACACTAACACAGACTTCATTCACCTTGAGAACAGGCATATGTACTAGCATAAGGTATAGTCAAGTAGGAAGTGATGGGTTTTAAATTCTTATTATCTTTGTTTTTAGTAAAATTAATTGTAAATAATTTTAAGAATGAGTAACTTAGGGCCAGGGATATAGCTCGGAGGTTGTGAATTCAATTCCCAGTTGAAAAAAAAAAGAATGGCTGGGGATTTAGCTCAGTGGCACAGCGCCTGCCTGGCAAGCACGAGGTTGTGAGTTCGATTCCCGGTACCGGAAAAAAAAAAAAGAATGGCTTACAAACTGGGCATAGTGGTGCAGTTCTGTAATCCCAGCCCTCAGGAGGCTGAAGCAGGTGGTTTGCTGTGAGTTTGAGATCAGCCAAGACTATATAATGAGTTGAAGGTCAGCCTGAGCTACAAAGTGAAACGCTATCAAAAAGACGAAACAACAGAAAAACCCTGAAAATGTAAGTCAGGTCTTAGAAACTGGTATGAGCCTGCTGCAGCACACCATTCCCAAGTTTTCAGTGAACCCCAAAGTTGTCAGGGTGGTTTAAAATTCTGTCCTCAAGCCCCGTGTGATGGTGCACACCTGTTATCCCAGCACTCCAGAAGGCTGAAGCAGGAGGATGGAAGTCTGAGCCCAACCTGCGGAATGTAGCAACTTAGTGAGACCTTGTCTCAGGAAACAGGGCTGAGCGTGTATCTCAGTCTCAGGGTGCTTGCCTAGCATGTGTGAGGCCCTGGGTTTATTCCCCAGTACCACAAAAAAGGCAGCTTCCAAAACAAAAAGTGCCATGGATGTAGCTCAGTGCAAAGGTCTTAGGTTTATCCCCAGTACTGAAATAAATAGCCCTCCAACTCTGAGGGCAGCAGGACTTCTCGGGAGAGAGATCCTGGGCCTGTGCCACTGCACCACCCACCTGGGCTCTGGGCACTTCAGACACTTCTCATCTCACCTCCGGACACCATGCAGTTCGCCTCCACGAAAGCTAGATGTTTCTCTGTGTCAAGAACCAGACTGAGCCTGGTGTGGTGGCGCACGCCCATTATCCCAGCACTCGGGGAGGCTGAGGCAGGAGGATCGTTGTGAGTTCAAGACCAGCCTGGACAACAAAGTGAGCTCAAGGCCAGCCTGAACTGCATAATGAGACCCTGTCTCAAAAGACAAAGAAAAAAAAAAAAAATGACTGTTCCCCAGCTTTGCTTGGGCCTCACTTGTTATCCGGGGGGGGGGGTCCCCTCAGATCCCCTAGTTCTAAAGAGACAACCCCCAAAGCCACCAAACTGAAGATGATACTGTCACTCAAATGCAGTTTGGGGTCTCATTTGATCTGATTTTTGGGGGAGGGTGGACACAGGGTCTCACTTTATATTCCAGACTAACCTTGAACTCCCTATGTAGCCTCGGCTGGCTTTGAACTTGCAGTGACCCTCCTGTGTCAGTCTCCGCAGTGCTGGGGTTACAGCCATGCACTGCCATACCTGGCCTCTCTCATTTTGAAGCTTTTTTTTTGACTGGGTGTGGGGTTTTCTGTTTTTTTGTGGGGTTTTTTGTTACCAGGAATCAAACTCAGCACCTTGTGCTTGCCAGGCAGGTGCTGTCACTGAGCTATATCCCTGGCCTCATTTGAATTTTGATTCAGAGAAACTGAAAAACAGACAATCTGGAAAATGTAAACATTGGTTTACAAGTACTGAGTCAATGCCATTTTAAAATGTGATAGTGAGTGGGGCATGGTGGATAGACCTATAATCCCAGCAGTTGGGAGGCTGAGGCAGAAGGATTGCCACGAGTTTGAGGGCAGTGTGGGGTACAGTGAGATCCTGCCTCAGACAAACAAATAAGTAAAATGTGATAGTGATGCTGTAGTTTTATTTTCCTAGATTTTTTGAGCTAGTCTGTGTAGCCCAGTCTGGTGGTGAACTCATGATCCTCCTGCTTAGCCTCAAGCACTGGGATTACAACTGTGCACCACCTCATAGCCTTACTATTTATTTATTTTTAATTCAGATAAGCTCCTTTTAGAGCAGAGGTTGCCCAACTGGCCAGACCTCCTGTTTCTGTGGCTGAAATATTAGAACACATCCCTACCTGCAATCTATGTATTGTGTAGGGTTGTGTCCAGACAGAGGCCATATGGCTGTTCATAATTTTTTTTGTACCAGGAATCGAACTCAGGACTTACGCCGCTTAGCTATATCACTGGCAAGGCCATATGGCTGTAAAGCCTCATATATTTACTGAAGAGATTTGCTCATTGCTATTTTAGAGAAATATCGTAAAATATTTACCTACAAAACAATATGATGCCCAGGGTTCCCTTCCAGCTGACCCAGTGGCTATGAGGTCTTGGATACAGTTGGGCTCACACTGCTGTGTCTCTGTTCCGTTATGTTGGACAGCTTCCGTAAGCATGTACTCTGGAGAAGGGAGGGCCAGCCTTCGAAGCCTCCCAATCTCTCTGACCCCACACCAGGACCCGACGAGGCTGGCCCAAGGGCGGCAGGACAAAGCTACTGTCACTCACCCCAGTTCTGCATGTGCCCGATGATGACTCCTGTCCTGGGCTGACCAGAAAGGCCATGGGCACCGAGAGAACCCCCCAGAGCCAGCTATGCAGTGAGTGACCCCACCTGGAGCCTGGCGGCTTTCTAGAAATGGGAAGGAGGGGCAGGAGGGCTCTCAGGAAGGGGATCTGTTTTGTGGGTCAGACCAAAGATCAGGAGCCACAGCTAGGTCCGTCCTCTGCAGTGCCCCCAGGCCTGGACCCCCTGGCTCCTGCCCGTGTCCCTGGGCAGTCCCTGACCCTCTGTGACTTAATGCTGGCCCCCTGGGTCTCCGGACAGATTCAGAAAAGGGTACATAATGGAAGGCCGCTGCCGGCTATGTGGCTGTCAGTGTTCCCATCCCTGACGGGCTGTGGGGCTCAGTTGATTCCGTACAAACCAAGCTCATGAAATCCTAAACCGGGGAAATTAGGAGTTTTATTGGAAACAGAATAGCTCCTGGATTTGCAGGTGGGGTCCTGATGGGGTGGCCACATGTCCCCTCAATTCAGAGCTATTAAGGATACGTAGAGCACAGGAGTTGCTCAGTTGTCTAGTGGCCACCTGTCACAAGTGGCTCTGGATTTAAAATGACCAGTTGGAGTTCAATTCTCTAACTCAGCTACTCAGCATATGGATTTTAAGGAAAAAACAGTTATTCGCATTTTAAGTTCCTCAGAACTGAAGAACTTACTAGGGAAGAGCTGTATTCCATGTTGCCTGAGGAAGTTAGTTCTGGTCCAGAGTCCTAGCTCGCTATTTAATTCTCATCACTGGCCGAGCAGCAGTTCTGTGTCAGGCCCTTCCCTAGCTCGCTGCCCTCCTCACTTGCCAATTAATGAGATTGCCAGGTCTCTGACTGCTGTGTACGTGTCCTAAGTCCCCATAAGAACTGTGAAAGCAAAACCAAATTGGGTAGGGTTTTCCCCAGCTAAAAACCATTTCTACGTCTACGTTCAAGGATTAAACAATTCCTAGAAGCCTCAAAAAACTAGGATTTCCCAAAACCTCCTGAAGCAAACAGATGTTTCTCCCCTCCGCCCCAGCCTCCTGCCCCGTCCTCCAACCGTGGCCATCTTCCTGGGCATCCCGTCCTGTTTTCTGCCCGCGCCCTAGGCACCCAGCCTAACCCCTGCTGCTCTTCGTCTCGTCCCACCCTGACCCCACCTGGCACTGTCCCCAGCACCCCCAGGATAGTCCTGCCATTTTCAGGGGGCATTGCCCTGCCCCCCCTTAAGTGCTTTGAGTGAGGGGCTGAGGTACAACTTCAGACTAACGTTGGTTTTTGTCTTGTTTTATGTTACGTTGAGTACTGGGGCTTGAACATGACCTTCACAATGAGCTGCATCCCCAACCCCAGCCCCAGCCCTTTTTAAAAAACAAGTCTTGCTGAATTCCTCTGACTAGGCTCAATCTTTCCAGCCCCTCCGTCAGCCTCCTAGAGTGCTGGGATTAGGTGTGCACCACCACACCCAGCTGGGATTTTTTTCTTTTTTCTTTTTTTTTTGGAGACGGGGTCTTGCTATGTAATTCCAGCTGACCTTAAACTCAGTGTGTAGCCTAGACAATGCCCCTGCCTCAGCCTCTCCAGTACTGAGATTCCAGGCACACACCACCACGTCCAGCTGGGGATATTTCTTCTTTACTTGCAAGTGCTGCATGCTGAAAGAAGACAACACAAGCCCCTGCAACGCAGCCTCTAGTTTCTTCTGCTGGCTGTGCCTGCTGCGTGCCCTGCTCCCCAGGGCTGCGCTGTGCCCAGCAGCAACCCAGCCCCAGCCCAGGGCTGCTGAAAGGGGTGACTTCCCCCTCCCTGAGGACCCCTGGTAGTACCTGGAGGTGTTTGAGGTTCTCGTGCACTGATGGGGCAGCGGGTGCTGTGGCTTCCAGTGGGCAGAGGTGGGGACGCTCGGATCCCATGGCCCACAGGGTGGCCCCCTCCTAGCACGGCCTGGCCTGGCCTGCACGCTGGGGCGGAGTCTGAGCTTGTCCCTGACAGCGGAGGAGCCAGGCTGCCGCCTAAACACTGGCTCAGCCACACTAGCTGGGGCTTACCTGGGCTTCCGTGTTACCCACTATAAACAGGAACAGCGAAGCTCACCCTGGCAGACTTGCTGCTTGAGTTAGGTGCAATAAAATTGTGTTATCAGTAGCGAGGAGGGCAGGCCCTGTGTGCTGGGACCCGCCCTGGGCCATGCTGTCCAGGAGCCTGCTCCTTCCCTCTGCTCTTCAGAGCCCAGCAGCAGAGGGGGCCGGGCCAAGGGGCCACTGCCCCACCCTGTGCACATCAAAGCTGGCCCCAACAAGCCAGGCGTGGTGGTGGACACTCCAGCCAGGGACCTAGCAAGGGCCCAGGGCAAGGCCTTTCCCTCTGAGCCTTGCGACCCTTCTCACCACTGTCCCTCCTGTCAAATGTGACCCTGTGAGTGGTGGTCCTAGTGACTGAAAAGCCCTGAGCACAGAGCGGCCGAGCAGCAGCTAGAGGCTGGAGTGCTCCCTGGCCCCTAGTCCCCAGGCCCCAGTCCCGGAGCTGTATTTGTACACTTCAGCTCTTTGCCGCAGCGCTCAATGCGGAGACTCCGTCCGGCTCCCTGGCTCTGCTCGTTCGTGGCTGCCCCTCCCCCCATGGCCAGATGGTGCCTCTGACTCACTCCTGTGTACCCCACTCCTCCCCCACACCACATCCCTTTTGATGGCTGTGGAGTTTCCCAGCCTGCTCTTTCTTGGCGTTGCCCCTCCTGCTCCAGAGAACCTCATCTGTGGGTTCCCTCTGCACCCCAAGAAGTACCCCCATTGCTTCTCCAGCCACACTGGCTTCAGGGCTAAACTGAGACCCCTGCTGCCAGGGCCAGGGCCAGGGCCAGTGTGAGGCTCCTTGGAGTTGTCACCCGGTCCCGTCCTCTGACTCTACCCCCGATCCTGCCTGCCCTGCGCAGAGCCCACAGCGGTACCAACCCAAGCCTGCTTGCAGACCTCACCTAGCTCCGCTCCATCCTCCCTCGTGGCACTGGCCACTACCTCCAGAAGAGGTCAGCAGCCAGCGAGGGGTCGCTTGGGTGGCCGTAGTCCCTGGCTGGCAGGTGCCAGGCCAGAAGCCTTCAGCCTCACCACAGTGCTTCCACCTACCACATGGGGTAAAGAGGAGGGCTCCAGTTGGCACCCGGGGAGGGGAGCCATGAGGGCCCTGCAGGGCTGAGGAGCAGCTGACACGAGGGACTCAGGGGATAAGCCTGGCCCAGGGACAGGCAGCCCCAAGCCGAGACCTCGGCCCCTGTGCCCCGAGAGTCCAGGAGGCAGGGAGAGTGCAGCATAGGTAGGAACAGAGACCCCATGGCAGGGATGGGACAGGCCCACGGGCAGTCCCCTCCCTCAGCACCAGTACCTCAAGATTTATTTCTGGCTTTCCAACCACCCCCAAACTATTTGGGGCAAGAGGAAGAAAATAGTCAGTTACTTCCTCCTGACCCCTTTATACCTCCCCACCCAGCCTTCTTTGACCCCTGAGCGTCTGACCATGAGACTCCAGGAAAGCAGTACCCCCCCACGCCCAGCGTGCCCGCAGAGGGGAGGGCGGGGCCCCCATTTAAGGAGGGAGAAGGGCTGCAGAGGGACAGAAAAACACAGGAGCTAGAAGTAGCGCTACAGGGAGGCCGGCAGTGGGACGGAGCTGGGGACCTGCGAGACCAGGCCGACTCTGATAGCAGGGAGAGGAGGGGACGGCAAGACGGGAAGCGGTGAGGAGAGGCAGAGAGGCGCGATGGAGGCGGAGGGGGCAGAGGCGGGGGAGGGGGGAGGACGGTCCCAGGGACTCTGATGGGACGGGGCCAGGGGACGCACATGCTGAGAGAAGTGGCCGTGGTGAAGGGCTGAGCCAGCAGTCCCAGGGTGCAGAGTCAGGCTGGGGGGACACGGGCCCCAGTCACAGCGTGCTCGCTTCTCCATCCCAGATACCAGCCCCTCCCGAGTCATGGCCCGGCTGGGTAAGTGTGTGGGCTGGGGCTCGGGGACGGGGTCCCAGCACCGCGACACCTGTGCACTGACCCTGTCCCCACTTCCCAGCCCTGTGCCTCTTCGCCCTGGCCCCCATCCTCTGGAGCCTGGCAGCCTCCCTGGCCTGGAAGGCAGCCTCGGGCCAGGACCCCTTCGAGAAATGCACTCACGATCCTGACTATGAGCAGCTGCTCAAGGTGGTGACCCTGGGCCTCAATCGGACCCTGCAGCCCCAGAAGGTGATCGTGGTTGGCGCTGGCGTGGCAGGGCTGGTGGCCGCCAAGGTGCTCAGTGATGCTGGACACAAGGTGAGAAGCGTTGCGCAGTTACCCTGGTCCTTCCCGCTGCAGGCGGAGTCCTCCCTCGAGCTCGGCCCCGGCGCCTCCACCCTGAGCCGGATACATCCTGCGTCCTGTGTCCCGGAGGGAAGTCCCACTGACTAAATCACTAAATGGCAGGTGGGAGTGGAGGCCTGTGGTGTGGAGGAAGTAACCCCACCAGGGGGAAGTATCCCCTGAGGTCCAACCACTGCTCCACCCCACTAAATCCAAGAATGAAAATGGTCTGCTCTGCACATGGGAAATCACCCCACTCTTTCCCTGAGCTGGGAAGTCCCTCTGCAGTCCAGCCGGTAGATTCTTGCTAGTCTGAAAATGCTCGCTCTGTTCCCCTTCCAACCCCTCTGCCCCCCCGCAAAGATGGGTCCTTCAGTCTCTGTGCTGCTGAGGGAGGGAGGCAGGGCGAGAGAGGCTGAAGGGCCCTGCTTCCCCCACCCCTCAGGTCACCATCCTGGAGGCAGATAACAGGATCGGGGGCCGCATCCTCACCTTCCGGGATCCCAAGACTGGCTGGTCTGGGGAGCTGGGAGCCATGCGCATGCCCAGCTCCCACAGGTGAGGCCTGACCTGACCACTCGTAGCCCCACTTCCACGCCTAAACCCCACGGAACCCCAGCTCACTCGCGCTCCAGGCCCCAGCAGCTCTTGGTTCCTCCGTGGTGCTAAGGACCAGAGGGCCTTGTGTGCGCCAGCCCAGTGCCCCACACTAAGCCACCGCTATTCCAGGGTCTGATCCCAAGCTAGACCCCGGTGCAAGTCAGCCTTCACCCACTCCCAGGCCTGTCGCCTCCCAGCACCAGCCGCGACACACCTCCCGCAGGGCCCAGGCTCCTCCAGCCGGGCCTCCAGCTCTGGCCCTTCCCATCCCTAACCTCCACCATCCTGAGCTCGTCCCCAGCCCTCATCAGCTCTGGGCTCCCTCGCTTCACCCCCAGTGAGAGCCAGCCTCGCCCAGGCTCCTAACCCAGTCCCAATCCCAGTCTGCCGTCACCTTCTGCCTTGTCCCCTTTCATTCCTGTCCCCAGCACCTGCGAGCCCAGTCTAGCCCCAGCCTATGCCATCCCCACGTGCCTGCTGCAAGCCCCACTGGGGACAGAGCCCCCAGCCCCTCACCCAGCCTCCCCACATCTTCAGGATCCTGCACGCGCTCTGCAAGAGCCTGGGACTCAACCTGACGAAATTCACCCAGTATGACGAGAACACATGGACGGAAGTGAACGGCGTGAAGCTGCGGAACTACGTGGTGGAGAAGATGCCTGAGAAGCTGGGCTACAAACTGCGCCCCCAGGAGAGGGGCCGCTCCCCAGAGGACATCTACCAGATGGCTCTCAACAGGGTAGGTACTGCCGGAAGCCCGCCAGACCTGCTGGGAGCCCTGCCCATTGCCCAGCTGCTCGCCTGTTGGTGGCTGTGTCTCCAGCTTCCCCGTGAACGGAGCTAATCACCCACCCCTACCAGCTTCCGGTGGCTTCCTCTACCCCCGCGACTCTATCCTGGATGACCTCACCTTTGACACCATCGACTTCAATGTTGTACAGCTACCTGAAGGGTCCTAAGTCCTGCTGCGCCCAGCACCTGTCCCTAAACCCACTCATATTCCCAGGTCCCCCCCCACCACAGTGCCACCAGCCTGCCACCAGGACACAGACCCCTGGGTGCCACCTCATGCCCTCCTGCCCATGGCCAGTTCCCACTTCTCAGCCCAGTCCCTATCAGCTCCCTTGGGCTCTCATCCCAGCCTCTTCCATGGCTGCAGCCTCCAGCCTCTCTGGCCTGGCACCAGGAGGGCTTTCCACACACAGCTAACCCTGCAGCTCCCTAGTGCCTGTAGCTCACCAGCCCAGTGGTGGTCTTGCTTCCTTCACTCTCTGCCTCAGTAGCTTCTCTCCTCCAAAGAATTTCCAGTAGCTGAAAGTCCTCCCAGTGGGCCACATGCACTGTGCTTTTTTTGAGACAGGGTTTCACTGTGTAGTTTAGGTTGGGCTTGATCTCACAAAGTAGCCCAGGCTGGCCTCGAACTCATGGAAATCTTCCTGCTTCAGCCTTCCAAGTGCTGGGATTACAGGCATGTGCTACCACACCAGCACACTGTGCTTCTGGAAGCCCACTGTGCCACCCATCATCCCCTGCTGCGCCCTCACCATGTCCCTGCCCTAGTGCCTGCATTCTGCATCCAGAGAGGTCCCACTCCTTCCAGAAACAGCTTCTGGGTCCCCTCCTGATGCCCGAGGAGAGCTGGGCATGCCGCTTTGAGAGCCCTTACTCGTCCATGTCCCCTTCTAGACTCTCCAAGTCCCTGGCCCCTGAGACTGAGTACCGGGGGTTCAGGGAAATTCGAGCTGAGAGAGTGGCAGTGAGGGCACACATCCTCCAGCTGGGCCTGGAGGGAGCTGGGCTGAAACGTGACAAGGCTTCAGGAGGGGCTGAGTCCTGAGTCAGTCCTGTGCCAGGGAAGGTGAGGCAGGACACACCCAAGGGCAGAGGTGGACGTCGTGCTGCACAACTAGAGCTGTGTGAGACAGGGTGACCAAGGGGTTGGCCAGGCCTGCAGCGCAACACTGAGGGGCTGGATCTCTGGCTGTAGGTGCCCGGAAGCCACAGAGGGCTATGGGCAGAGAGGGCTCTGCTTCTGTCTGTATCCACAATGAGCCAGACACAAATATTTACCACGTCCCAGAGAGACACAGCATGACTGAGGCAGATACAGTCCTGCCTTCACAGAGCTCACGGCCACCACAGATGTAGGAATGAAGTATTCCCAGCACTCAGAAGGCTGAGGCAGGAGGATTGCTGTAAGTTCCCAGCTCGCCTAGCCTAGACTACATAGTGAGACCGTCAGTCTCTCTGTCTGTCTGTCTCTCTCTCTCACACTCACACACACACAAAACAGGGATGAACATGATAGCAGGGTGTGCTGTGCAGACGAGGGGAGCCAGTTCTTTGAGAAGATGTCCCCAAGTGGTGACATCTCACTTGCAGCAGAGGGCAAGGCTGAGGGCACAGACAGCATGGGTGAAGGCCTGGGGGCTGGAAAGAAAGTGGTAAACAGCTGGCCACAGGCAGAAGCAGAAAGAACACCCAGGCTTTGACATCCAGCAACCCATCTGCTTGGTCCTCGACAGGCCCTAAAAGATGTCAAGGTGCTGGGCTGCAGAAAGGCTCTGAGGAAGTATGAAGGGTACACGCTCCTGGTGAGTGGGGCCTCACTGTCCGGCAGGCGGGTCAGGAGCTGGCCCAGTATCCCCTTCCTCCTTGCGGGAGAGCGGTGGGCATAGGGCCACCCTCTCTAGACCTGTTTCTCTCTTCGGTCACGAGAGGCAGGAGCAGATCGCTAAGGTCCACGGCATAGAACCCGGGGCTGGGGAGGTAACCCAGCGGGAGAGGGGGCCGGAGGTGCAGGTTGCAGCCTGCCTGGACCCTGACGGGGCGGCGCCCACCTTGCAGGAGTACCTCCTCGGGGAGGGCAACCTCAGCCGGCCGGCCGTGCAGCTTCTAGGAGACGTGATGTCCAAGGATGGCTTCTTCTACCTCAGCTTCGAAGAAGCCCTGCGCGCTCACAGTTGCCTCAGCGATCAGCTCCGGTGAGGGGTGGGACGGCCAGCGGGGGCGGAGCGGGCGGGGCTACGCCTCCCCCCAGGGCCTGGTGAGGAAGGGTCAGGGAGGGCGTGGCCTTAAGGGGAGGCGGGTCCGGGGTGTACAGCAGCAGCGGGGTCACGCTCGCCGCCCCCCACGCAGGTACAGCCGCATCGTGGGCGGCTGGGACCTGCTGCCGCGCGCCTTGCTGAGCTCGCTGTCCGGGCCCCTGCTGCTGAACGCGCCGGTCGTGGCGCTGACCCAGGGCACGCAGGACGTGCGGGTGCACGTCGAGACCCTGCCGACGTCGAGTGGGTCGAACAACCTGAAGGCGCTGACCGCCGACCTGGTGCTGCTCACGGTCAGCGGCCCGGCGCTGCAGCGCATAGAGTTCTCGCCGCCACTGACGCGCAAGCGGCAGGAGGCGGTGCGCACGCTGCACTACGTGCCGGCCACCAAGGTGTTCCTGAGCTTCCGCCGTCCCTTCTGGTACGACGAGCACATCGAGGGCGGCCACTCGAACACCGACCGCCCGTCGCGCACTATATTCTACCCGCCGCCGGGCGAGGGCGCGCTGCTGCTGGCCTCCTACACCTGGTCGGACGCCGCCGCCGCGTTCGCGGGCCTGAGCGTCGAGGAGGCGCTGCACCAGGCGCTGGGCGACGTGGCGGCGCTGCACGGGCAGCAGGTGTACCGGCTCTGGGATGGCACCGGCGTCGTCAAGCGCTGGGCCGAGGACCCGCACAGCCAGGGTGGCTTCGTGATGCAGCCTCCCGTGCTCGGGCAGACCGACGAGGGCGCCGAGCCCTACGACTGGTCGGCCCCCTACGGCCGCATCTACTTCGCCGGCGAGCACACAGCCTACCCGCACGGCTGGGTGGAGACGGCCGTCAAGTCGGCGCTGCGGGCCGCCGTGAGGATCAACAGCCCTGAGCAGCACAGCCGCGCGGAGTTCGCCCCGGAGGAGCTGCAGGCCGAGCGAAGGGCCGCCCCGGCCTGGCGCCTCCCGCGCCCCGCCCGCCGGGGGACCCCGCATTAAAGTATTTTCCGACGAAGCCCCGTGGTCCCGCTGCCTCCCTCGGTGTTGCTTCCGGCTTGTCGCGCCAGAGCCCTGAGCCCTCCGCTCCGGAGGGGACTCCGGCTCCTCCCCGACAGCGGCTTTGCGGCATGGGGGACACGAGCGGGAGCGGGCGCCGCACTCAGGAACCAGCGCGCTTGTGGGCTGAACTAGTTTATTCCGCCCGAGCAGGACCCGCCCGGCTGCTGCGGCAGGGGTCCCGAGCGCCCGGCGCATCCCGCCCAGGGGCCTCCTCCCAGGCCGCACTGTGGTCAGGCTCGGGGCCAGAAGGGACTCTGGGCGCCACCTCCTCCCCCGGGCGCCCTCTCCGCCCATGCCACCTTCCACCGAGGCGCGGCAGTTTCGTGACGCCAGCTCCTCGGGCGCGCAGCAGCCACTAAAGTGCGGGTGCGCCGCGCCGCGCGGCAGGCTAGGAGTCCGCGCCGTCCTCCTCCTCGGGCAGGATCTCCAGGCTGCTG